ATAAGGTTAATAAAATGTGGGATCATTCACTCAAACACATACATATCACATACACTCCCCATACAAGTAAAAAATTGCGCAGCTGTGCCAAGTTCGTACAAAGTTTGTAGGCGGGTTCGCAGAAAATCAGACAAATGGAAGGTTTATGGAGGTATAGAGGGAGAAAAGGTTTGTCTTCCCTCTTTCTTGTACAATAAGATGGTATAGTAATGGAGGGGGCCCTAAAAAGGTCTGGAGGGGCTGAGGTGGCGTACCTGGGCATCGACGGGCGGCAGTGGTTACACCAAATGAGGCCAGGTCGCAGATCCAAAGTCCAGCAGCCGTGAGCAGGGGAGCCAGATGACAAACCTGTAAGTAGGGAAGCCAGGTGACAAAGGCCCCGTAGGCGTGAGGACAAACAGAGGAGAGGTCGCACCGCAGGGGAAGGCCGAGTCAAGTGGAACGGAGGAGGGGGAAGGTCCGAAGGGCCAGGGCGGCGGCAGCAAAGTCAGCTGCTTGGTCTCATACAGTGCCATACCCAGCTGACCACCCCCTCTCTGGAACAGGCCAACGCAAACCAAAGATCCCAAAAGCGGGGGCAAAAGATGTCAGGAAATGCCAGGAACGCCGAGCAATGTAAGCCACCGAAGTAGAGGGAGGGGGGGTGCCTAAGAGGGCCGTGGCAGCGGTAAACAGGCCAGCTGCCTTGCCTCGTCCAGCGCCGTTCCAAATCACCCACCTCCTCTTTGATAGCAATAGTACTCCAGCAGCCCGATAAGCTCCAGGTTTCCTCCCAGTCAGCCAGAAAAACAGCCAGAAAAGCGAGACTAGGTCCATGAAATGCCAGGAGAGGCACCTTCAGTGCGGTGCCGCCATTTCCGTCTTTTCCGCCGCCAAGCGTTGTAAAAGTTATTCCGGGCGGCCGGGTGGACCGGAGGCCGTCCGAGAGCGGTGACCCATAAGAATACCACTCGAACAGGTCCCCTGGATTGCACTCTGTTGCTGGGACCCCTTCCCACATGGCTCCGAGCTGAATTGCCGGTTTTCTCAGGCGTTTTCTGTTCAGCCAGACCGGAGCGAAGAAAGCCGGCGGCCATCCCACCTCGCACATGCGCAAATTTAGATTTATATACCATTTTACAGCTCTATAACCTTCTCTAAGTGGTTTACAGAGTCAGCATATTGCCCCCCAACAATCTGGATCCTCATTTTACCCAGCTCGGAAGGATGGAAGGCTGAGTCAACCTTGAGCCTGGTGAGATTTCCACTGCCAAATTGTAGGCAGCCGGCAGTAAGCAGAAGTAGCCTGTAGTACTGCATTCTAACCATTGCTCCACCATGGCTCATGGTGTCTTTTTTGTCATCAATTGAAATGTTTAATAATAAACATTTATTTATTTATTTATTTATTTGTTTGTTTGTTTGTTTGTTTGTTTGAGCAGAAGCACCATTGTAAATTCTACCTATTCAATATATATTTCAAGAATAAAATATGAACGAAAACAACATTTTCTTTTCTGTTTCACTGAAAATTATAATTCCTTCTTTAACATAATGTTAAGAAATGCAATTTGTTTAAAAAGGATGCCAGAACAATGTTTTTGAAATTTCTCCAAAATGTTGAACTTTGTCATTTTTTGTAAGCAAATTGGAAAGTAAGGATGTAAGGAAAAAAATATGATCCAATTTAACATTTATAGTTTTCACCTATCAAGTGTTTTAACTTTCCTTTATAAATGAATAACGTCATTTCTGTCTTTGCAATGTTTGGTGTTCTTGATGTTTTGATTGTTTGATGTGCTAAAGATCTAGCAAAAATAGACCATACATTTTAAAGCAATGATGTAATTATCATAACATATTCAGGGGTGGGTTTCAATTTTTTTACTACATATTCTGTGGGTGTGGCCTATTTTGTGGGCATGGCTTGTGGTCATGTGGGTGGGAGTCATTGGCCAGTCATGTGACTGGGTGGGAGTGGCCAAGTGGATGCCACTGAATTCTTTGCTTCAATGAATGACCTACAAAAAGAAGATATAAAAAAGTAAATGTATTATTTTGTACACTTACTACTTTAATAGAATAAAATAAGTACACAAAACAATAAAAGAGCTACTTATAGTCCATCCATTCAGTCAGAGACATGGCCTCTGGTGGTGACTTGGGCCGCCTTTTGGTGGGAAGGGGGAAGGATTGGGTAAACCACTTCTTCCCTTTTACTGTCGTATTGCAGTTTTCTTGATAACGCATCTGCCAGCAAGTTCTTCCCTGCAGGGATCTGCTTCAGTTCAAATTTGAACCTTTGGAAGTATTGTGACCAGTGAACTTGCTTTGGAGACAGTTTTGGGGGGCTTTTGAGGGTTTTGAGGTCTTTGTGGTCAGTCCACACCTCGAATGGCACATCCCCCCTTGCAGGAAATGTCTCCAAGTGAGTAGGGCCCACCTGACCACATATGCTTCTTTCTCCCAAATGGTCCACCTCCTTTCAGTAGCAGTGAGTTTTTTTGAGACATAAGCACACAACAAGAGTTGTCTTTCTTTGTTCTTTTGCAACAGCACTTGCCACTACAGCCACATCACTGGAATCTGTCTGGATTATGAACTGCTGTTCTGGGTCGGGGTGTTGCAGTATGGGCTCTTGGGTAAAGAGCTGTTTTAATTTCTCAGATGCTTTTTGATAGACCATTGTCCACTCAATAGGTTGGTTTGACTTTGGCTTTGTCGGGGCAGGCCTCTGAAGAAACTGAAGAAATGCTGGGGAACATTTTTACCAGCTTTATTCTTACTTTTTCTATCATTACTATTTTGCTACTCTGGCTCTTCATTAAAAACAAGGACACCCCTATTGTGAAAGCCGACAATGAGACCCTCACCTACACTCTTCTCATCTCCCTCCTGCTCTCCTTTCTCTGTGCTTTGCTATTCATTGGCCAGCCTCGTCAATGGACATGTCTTCTTCGGCAAGCTAATTTTGGTATCATCTTCTCCGTGGCAGTTTCTAGTATTTTGGCAAAGACTATCATTGTAATTCTTGCTTTCATGACTACCAAGCCAGGATCCAGAATTAGGAAATGGATGGGAAAAAGACTGGGTCTTTCTGTTGTCCTTTCTTGTTCTTTTATTCAAATCATTATTTGTACCATATGGCTATCAAATTCTCCCCCGTTCCTGGATGTTGACATGTATTCCATGGCAAAGGAAATTGTATTGATGTGTAAGGAAGGATCAACCATCATGTTTTATTGTGTCCTTGGTTTTATGGGTCTCTTGGCAATTATCAGCTTCCTGGTAGTTTTCCTGGTCAGGAAGTTACCGGACACATTTTATGAAGCCAAATTTATCACCTTCAGCATGTTGGTCTTTTGCAATGTCTGGCTTTCCTTTGTTCCAACCTACTCGAGCACAAAGGGGAAATATATGGTGGCTGTAGAGATCTTCTCTATTTTGTGCTCCAGTGGGGGGTTACTGTCTTTCATCTTCTTCCCAAAATGTTACATTATTCTGGTGAGGCCTGATTTAAATATTAAGGAACAGCTAAAAAGAGGGAAAAACTAAACATATTGCCATAAGAATAATTTCCATCCTCTAGAAGTTAAATGGAGTAGACTTTCTTAATTAAAGGAAAACAAGTACTTGGGGTATTTTTGTTCAATTCTCGAAATGTCTGCTGACCTAAAGTCAAATACCTATAAGAAGATAATATCTCTTTTGTCTTCTTTTGAAATGTTTAGTTTTATTTATTTATTTATTCATTCATTCATTCATTCATTCATTCATTCATTCACTCATTCACTCATTCACTCATTCATTCATTCATTTATTCATTTATTCATTTAATCATTCATTCATTCAGCAGCACTATGGAAAATTCTGCGTGTTCAACTTATTTCAAGAATAAAACATGAATGAAAGCAACATTTCTCTTTAGGTGTCACTGAAAAGTGTAGTTCTTTATTTTTTTATGGAATGTTAAGAAATCTAAAATTTGTTTTAAAAGGGAGCCAAAACAATGTGCTTGCAATATGTCCAAAATTTGTCCAAAACATTGACATTCTTGAACTTAGTCAAATTTTGTGAGTAAGCACATTGGAAAGCAAAGATGTAAGAAAAAATGTTCCAATTTAATGTTTATAAAGGTAAAGGTTCCCCTCATATTTATATGCTAGCAGTTCCTGAGGCAGTGCTCAGCTCTGCTTCAAAGCCGAAGAGCCAGTGCTGTCCAAAGACATCTCCGTGGTCATGTGGCCAACATGACTTAATGCTGAATGCACACAGAATGCTGTTACCTTCCCACTAAAGGTGGCTCCTATTTTTTTACTTGCATGTTTTATGTACTTTCAAACTGCTAGGTTGGCAGAAGCTGGGACAAGTAATGGGAGCTCACTCCATTACATGGCGCTAGGGATTCGAACCGCTGAACTACTGACCTTTCGATTGACAAGCTCTGTGTCTTAGCCACTGAGCCACCTGTCCCTCTATTTATATTTGTAATTTTTACCTATTTACCGCATCTTTTAGGAATGAATGATGTTATTTCTATGTTTAAAATATTCATGTTCTTAATCTTTTCATTGCTCGATGTGCTAAGGTTTTAGAAAAGGTAGACCATATAATTTAAAGCAATGATGTAATTATAATGTAGACTGAAGATTCAATTGAAAATATTTATAAATTGTTACTTATCAATATCAGATTACTTTAAATAAAGTTATGTTAGATGGTGATTTTTTTTCCAGCCAACTCCTACACTTGGTATTTTCACTTTCCTTGATTATACATATTCATCTTAAGCATATACCTCTTGAATAGTTTGATTGTTTTAAAGGCAATTTAAGTATATTATTGATTTCACCCTGAAACATGGCTATAGTAGGATAAATAAAATGTGTACAAATTGATGTTCCAAATTAAATTTTATCTTCAGCACCAAAATGTTTGAATTTAACCCTTACTTCAATGTCCCAAAAGTAAAAAAAAAAAAAAAATAGAACTGGGGAAGAAATTAAGCTTTTGTATTCTTCATTTGGTCGTTTTTGTACATCAGTTAGGTCTTTCCAGTACTCAATATACTAGTCTCAGTGCATCTTATTCACTGTCATTCTGATATTCTTACAATGCCCTTTTTTCTTCAACTATCTAGTGCAGCGAAGGCAGAGGTGGGTTCCTACCAGTTCGCACCTATTTGGTAGAACCGGTTCGTCAAATCTACCAAACCGGTTAAAAGAGGTTCCACCAGTGGACCCGGAAAGCAGGCCGCACCTACAGAAGAGGTTCCAAAAATTTTTGAAACCCACCACTGAGCGAAGGCTAATCTTTTTGCCATCGTGTGCCAAAAGCAGAGGGAGTACAGGGAGTCATGCACGGGCATGCCCACACCCATAAGTCTATGTGCGCACAACCCCACACCCCTGTGCATGTGCATGCTACTCCCCCAACGCATATGTGCATGACCCTCCCATGCATGGACCTGTTTCTCATCCTCCCCTGGCTCCAGAGGCGCCCTGGGGAGAGAGAAAATGGCTCCCCCACTCCCACGGAGGTCCTCCGGAGACTTCAGAGAAGTTCGGGAATGGAATTCTGGGTTACCCATAAGGCTGTTTTTCACCCTCTGGAAGCTTCAGGAGGCTTCTCTAAAGCCTTTGGAGGAGAAAAACAGCCTAACGCACAAACCGGAAGTCCGTTTCTGAACTTCCGGTTTGCATGTTGCATTGTTTTTCACCCTTTGGAGGCTTTAGGGAAGTCTCCTCAGGGCAAAAAATGGCTGAAAATGAAGGCTGAAGTCAGAACTGACAGGGCAGCCCTTTGCCCTAACAAATGGCTCTGTGTGCCACTTGTTCCACGCGTGCCATAGGTTTGCCATCACAGATCTAGTGTATTTGCAACATTCCATGCCCACCTATTTTCCTTAGTAAAAATAAAGTCTATCAATATTGCATAATGGAGTGAGCTCCTGTTACTTGTCCCAGTTACTGCCAACCTAGCAGTTCGAAAGCACATAAAAATGCAAGTAGAAAAATAGGAACCACTTTGGTGTGAAGGTAACAGCATTCCTTGCACCTTTGGCATTTAGTTATGCTGGCCACATGACCATGAGACCATGGCTCTTCAGCTTTGAAACAGAGATGAGCACCGTCCCTTGAGTCAGGAACAACTAGCACATATGTGCAAGGGGAACCTTTACCTTTACTTATGAGAAGGATAAGAATATTTCAGAGTGATATTGAAACCTGTTGGACAAATGATGGCATCCAAGTGAAAATGGAATAAAAATGTTGTTATAAATTCTGGGAAAACAGTGAATGCAATGAATGTTATTAATCATCTCTACAGAGAGAAATTTCACAGTGATGGAAACCTGTTAACAGAATCCTGCAAATAATTTGGCATGAGCACTATCACATCTAACAATTGAGAACACTCAAAAATACAATTAATGCAGATTTTTAAAAATAG